ATTATTATTATTATTATTATTATTATTATATTCAATCTATTTATAACAAGTCAAACATACTTTATAATATAGTCAATGTTTTAAAAAGTTTGTTATGATTCTAAGGCAAGTTTGTTATGACTCTAAGGCTTGTACGTGATACTAAACTTTAACAAAATGTTATATTAAATCATATATGTATATAAAAATGAATAATGGTAGAATATATATATATATATATATATATATATATATATATATATATATATATATATATTGACACCTTAACTCACGACTTAGAAACAACATGAGTCGCCACAACTCATAAAAGTTTTAGGCTTAACATTGCCGCCAAATTACGTATAAGTCTAAGGATATTTAGAACCATAGAATATAGTATAAATGTTAGGGTCTTATATAGGAAAATGCACAAAGCTGACGGGTGTATCCGAAATATTCCGAGTTACTTAACTATTTATCCATTGGCTCGCCCGCTACGCCTTTGTTAGAGATATCAGCTATCCACCACATGTACAAACCCTAAGCTCAAGAAACCCTAAAACGATTAACCATGTCGCACTTTGGAAGAGCAGGTCCGCCGGATATCAGAGATACCTATTCACTCCTCGTCCTCAACATCACCTTTCGTAAGTTCATAATTTCATCATTCGATTTATAAAACACCCGATTTGTCTAACGAGTTTTGTCTTTCCAGGTACAACTGCCGATGATTTGTTCCCTCTTTTTGATAAGTATGGAAAGGTTGTTGATGTTTTCATCCCTAGAGATCGCAGGTAGAGTTTTCCCCAATTTAATGTGCAATAATAGGATTTCTCATTTTTGTGGAATCTCGCGTTTGTAATTTTCTTATGTAACATTTTTCATACACCGAATGGCCGAAGTGGTTGACAGATTTCTACTTTTGGAACATATACGGCTAAATGCAGAATTAGCAACCGGACTTTTGTTTATTTGTTTGTTATCCTTTCAATAAATTGCTTAAAAACCTATGTAGCTATTGCAAGGAAAATTGCTTTGTATCGGATAACAATGTTATTTTAGGTATAATTTTTTAAAGAACAATGCTTTAATTGGAAGAAATGAACTAGAATGCTATAATACACAAGTCTGTGAAATGTACTCACACTCTTTTGCATTTAACCCAAATACATTGTTAACTTTCCCATAATCTATTTTGATTCTGTTATGAATTGAACATTTCTTTTCAAATTATATATGATGTATCACATCTGAAGCCGCATATGCATTTGAAACAGGAGAATGTACAATTCCTATATTTTCTGCTTCTATTCCCCACCTTTCTTTTTGTTTAAACTTCTTAGAACAGAATCATCATTGTCTAGGTATATTCGACTTAACTTGGTGTGTAATTCTTGTGTTGCTTATAGGACTGGGGATTCGCGAGGCTTTGCCTTTGTTCGATATAAGTATGCAGATGAAGCCCAGAAGGCAGTGGACAAGCTTGATGGTGACAACTGAATATCTATTTCTTCTAAAGAATCCATTTCATGAATTAAAAAAAACAATCTTTTCTTTTTCTTCTTACATCTATCCCAATTTCTTCAGGAAGAGTTGTTGATGGTAGAGAGATAATGGTTCAATTCGCCAAATATGGGCCTGATGCTGAACGAATGTGAGTCACACTCACTTTTCTTGCTATTCATTCCATTCCATCAAACTATATAAATTAACAAACCTGTTACTCATTTTCCTCTAGTCATAAGGGAAGAATACTAGAACCAGCTGAGAAGCTGAAGGGAAGATCAAGGAGCCGAAGTCCAAGACCAAGGTAAAAAGATTCTTCTTTCTTCCATACAAACATACTCCCTTTTCTTTCTTCATCTTAATCACACATTGTTCATGTAGTTCAAGGCATAGAGATGACTACAAGGACAGAAGAAGAAACCGTAGTAGAAGCAGAGACAGATCTGAACGCGAGAGGCATCGAGGAAGAGATCATTACAGAAGCCGAAGCCGAAGCAGAAGCAGAAGCAGAAGCCCTGAATATCGAAAAGAACGCAGCAGAAGAGGAAGATATGAAGATGAAAAGGGTAGAAGTAGAAGTCGATCTCCTATCAGAAGCAGATCTCCTATCAGGTTTCTACTTGTATGATGCAGTTAGATCTTAGGATAAGATTTCAAGTTGTTTCAACTGTATTTGAAAATGTTCATATGTGATTATGTTATGTAGAAGTGCTTCCCCTGCCCGATCACCTGCCCGAAATAGCATGAGCCCTAGAAGGAGTAGGAGTGCATCTCCAAGAAGAACACCTTCAAGGAGTAGAAGTCCAGCAAGGCGTGTTGAGAAAGATCGGTCACCTACTCCAAAAAGTGTTGGGAAAGCTGACTCAAGAAGCCCATCACCACATCGTTCTGATGCTGATGTGAGTATATACAACATATATAAAAAATTATATGATCTTTTTAAAATAGTTGGTTAGGTTTCGACTTTTTTCAGTGATGCTGATTTAATGTTTTGAATTTTGTTTTATAGGAATGAGAATTGGTCATTGGAGATGCATGTATGGACATGAAATCGAGAGCAGTGTTCTGTTTTGTGAAAACTCATTTCCTGATGCTTAATTTCAAGGTTAATTTTTTTTTCCTGTTTGTACCCCTTCCTTTGCATACTTTGGATTTCTGGCTTCTAAAATGTTTGGAGTTGATGTTTTTGTTTTTGGATGTTTTTGGCTGTGTTATTACTTATTATTATGCATGGATATTGATTTGGAAAACTGAAGTTTTTGACATGCACTATATAGATAGAGTATGTGTTGCTGTTGATGTTGATGAGAACTGGTGCAGCTGTGGTTATGATGTTTGGTTTGCAGTTGGTAAGAGTTGAACCTTTAAATCCCGAAGTCAAACTAGGATTTTGACTAATAGAATGAATATACATATATATATATATATATTTTTTTTTTCATATTTCTTACTTTTGGTTACTTTGTTTTTGGGACATAAAAGGGAAAGGGGATGATGGTTGAAGTTGATATTGCTGCTATGCTGTTGACACGTCATGCCTGCTGAACAAAAATACTAAAAATTTTAAGGTTCTAAAATTAAAATCAAAGCACATATGGTCTCATAAAAATGGGCTAATCTGATGCTAGTGAAATGGTGATTGATATACAGTAGTTGAGGTCGATGATTAAGCTGTCAAGTGATAGGCACGTGTTGTTGCTGTGTTTGTAGATGCTGGTGAATTAAGGTTAATAATCAAATCTCATAAATCTTGCACCTCAAATTTACCACCTTTTTTGTGTGTGTGTGTGTGTGTGTGTGTTTTATGTGCTTAACTTGTGTTGAAAATGCTGGAACTTTCTTTTAGCTTTGATTGGAGTAACAGAATGGGGTGTTGATAGTCTGGAAATAAAAATCAGTATCATGTCTTTCAAAAGTATAATTAAATAAAATTTTGAAGAATTTGTGTTTGATTTTAAAATACAAAAAAAAAAAAAAAATCATTTTTTTATGAAATGTTTGTGACTGTCGTTGATGTTTTTGTCTATGGTGAAGGTAATTCCATATTTCAGTTCACAAATTTATATAATTGTTTTATTAGAAATGTTGTATGTGTCTCTTTCTACTTTTTTGTTTCTTGGGCATCGAGAAATGTGTTTCTCTAAATATGTATGGTGATGTTGGTGTTTGTCTGTATCTGATTTAGTATTGTGTGTTGATATAGCTTGTACTATTTCTTCTTCTAGTATCTAATAATTGGCCCCGCAAGTGATGGAGTGATGTGGTGTTTGCATGCATTATCTTCCAACCAAATAACTTTTTGGAAAAATGTACATTTTTTCATCATTTGAGTTTTAAGTTTTTGTTTAGTCACGTGATATATTTAAATCATCCGTGACTAACAAATAAATTGAAACATATATTGAAGCTATTGAGACGGTTGTTGATAAGCCAAAGATCATGGCAACATTTATTTATTTAGATTAAGGTTCCGTTTGATAGTTGTTGATTGAGAAAGTGCCGATTAAGAAAGATCTATATTGGTAAGAAAAACGACTGAATAAGAAACTAAGTTGCTTGATTGTACATCTAATTGAATGTACTGACTGATGAAAAATGATAATTTTACCCTGATGCTCTATACAATATTGAATGAAGTTGCTGAAGAATTATAAAAACATACAAAATGCAAATTTCACAAGAATCCTTTAAAAACCCAAATCCTCAATTACACCAAACACTACCAAAGCTATATAAAAAACCACTTCTTGGATATAATGAATGCAAAAACAAGTAATCGTAGCTAAAATACTTTTCATCAACATCTTATGCCATAAATTCCCACCTCGATATACTTTGGAATCACTAATTCCGGAGATGTCTTCAATTTCAATGGGGAGAACAACCTCGATCAAGATCATCAGAAAATCAATCCACACATTCCTCCAAAGCTACAATCAATTCAAAATTGCATCACTTTTAACTCTTCCTTTCTTACTATCAATCCTCTTATCATCTCTTTCGTCGGAATCTACAATTCCATCCTCCAAACACAACTATGGAACACTTTTCTAATCATATCATCACACTTGATACCAATACTGGCTGTATTTTCTATAAAAGCTGTAAAATTAAATATTGTAAGAATAAAGGTAGGAATATTCATGATCAAACATAAACATAACAACAAAAAAACCTGAACTTTTAGAAAAGTTTAAAAGGAACATAACAACAAAAATTAGATCATTTAGAACATCAATGATACAACTGGAAACCCTTACAGCAAAATCAGAAGTTGACCATTCAACCTTAAACATGAAGTGAACAGAAAATCACTTGAAAATTGGGAAATATATATCCATCTCAACAACAAAAGAACTTTCAACCGCAAAATTATTTTCAACAAAAAAAGAACATTCAGCAAAAATCAAAACAGTAAAAATCGAAACAATAGTCTTTTAAGGCATTTTGACATATGAATTTAAGAAATCAAAACAACAAAAATCGAACACAATGGTCGACGACAGGAATCAGAAGTATTAGAGATGGTTACCTGATGAGACGAGGAAGGAGCTCCGACCGATGGGTGGAAGAGAAATAATGGGGTTAACGATGCTTGTTGGTAGCAAGAGAAGAAACGAGTCGTTGAAAGAGAAGAAGAAAGGGAGGTTGGAAGATACGTTAGGGAAAGGGTAGCAACAGAAACTTTTCTCTCTTTCTCAGTTAGGCGATTTCTTATTTCTTTCCCAATCAGATCTGTCTTTCCTAGTTAGACGCACACAAGTTGTTTATCAAACGCGTTTGGCTGACCGAGTCAGCCAAAAAGTTCTGACTCGACTCGATCAGACGAATATCAAACACCAACTAAACCTCAGTGGTTTCCAGAAAATTGAGAAATAGTTTTTTAGTTCAAAAAACCTAATAGATAGTCCCCATGTGTAATGTTTTTCTATTATATTGAAGCCAATACTACGAATACAAAGACTGCAATTTATACAAGGTTTATAATTGAAAATACTAAATATACGGTTGTACATTAGGTCTACAATTTGACTTTGACTGAGAACCAATATTCGAAATACGTACACTCTAACCACATGTGTATCATTTGATGTTAACATTGTTACCCCGACAATCTCATGTGAGGAACGAACTTGAAGCTTGTGACGCATGGAATTGAAGTGATACTTAGAAAGAGCCTTGATAAATATGTCCGCTAGTTGGTCTTCTAAGGACACAAACGATACATTTGTTTTGATAAGTTCCTTAGCTTCAACTTGTTTGCGAATGAAATGAAAGTCAAACATGGTGCTTGTGCTTATGATAGGATTTTTGGTCATGCTCCTACATTATCACAGAAGAGCAATGGAGACCGAGTCGTTGGAACTTGTAACTCAAACATAAGCTGTTTAATCCAAAGGAGTTTTGTAGATGTGTATGCCAATGATCTATACCATGCTACCGTGCTTGATCTTGCTATTACCTTCTGTTTTCTAAAGGTCTAACTTATCAAGTTGGAGCCGTGATATATAGCAAAACCATATTGGGAACGACTGTCATCTTTATTAGATAAGCGATCAGCATTGAAGAAAGCTGTGAGGGATCTCTTTTGGGATGATGTAAAATGTAAAGAATGGGTAAGAGTACAATTTAGATACCGTAAAATTCTCTTGACAACTTGCAGTCGTTGGTGAATGTATGTATTGACATGTTCGATTAACAACAGAAGTAATGTCGGGTCGAGTTATTGTAGCATATTGTAGTGACCCTACTATTTGTCAATATAACCTTGGATCAAAAAACAGTTCACCAGCAAGAGTGAGACGTGAGCTTGGTTCAACAGGAGTAGAGATAGGAGAAGCAGCAACCATTTTGCATTTTTCAAGAACGTATTGAATGTAATTCTCTTGACTTAGGATTAGACCCTTTGAGTTCCGTTCGATTTGAATGCCCATAAAATAATGTAACTCGCCTAAGTCTTTGAGAGCAAACATTTGGTGGAGATTATTGATGAACTGTTGGATTAGTTAGGGATTGGTGTATGTGATGATTAAATCATCCACGTAGACTAGAATGTAGATGACAACTTTGGTTATGACATGGAAGAACGGTGACGTGTCCAATTGGCATGCTCAAAATCCCGCACGAACAAGATAAGCATTGAGTTTTGTGAACCAAGCCCCTGGGGCCCGTTTGAACCCGTAAATTGCATTATGTAATCGATAGACATGATTTGGCCTTTGAGTGTCTTCAAATTCGGAAGGTTGTTTCATGTATACATCTTCTTGCAAGTCGCCATTGAGGAACGTGTTATTGATGTCCAATTGATGAATGTACCATCCCTGTAACATATCAATGGACAGAAAAAGTCAAATGGTGGTGAGTTTAATGACCGAACTGAATGTTTCAAAATAATCCACTCCTTGGCTATATCCTTATGCTACTAGGTGTGCCTTGTAGTGATCAATTGTACCATCTGAATGTTGTTTGATACGATAGATCCATTTGTAACCTACAACATAAACGTTAGGTGGACAAGTAACAAGAGACCATGTGATATATCACATTAATGCATCATATTCAACTTGCATTGTTTTTTGCCAACAAGTATGCTTATTCATGGGTGGACACAAGATTCCGTAGTAGGTGTTGTCGGTGGCACATTTTATAGTAGAAAAAAGATAAAATTTGAAAATTTTACCCTGCATAAAAAAAAGTAGTGGTTGCCGGTGGCAATGCGCGTACGGTATACCCAAAGTGTAACGCCCTGTTCTGAATTGAATCCTAGTCTGAGGCTGTGACCCGAAGGTCGGTCGTCATAAGGATTATGGCTTTTGAAAGGGTAAGATCTAGGCCATTTTGGGTGCGAGTAATGTATTAGAAGCGATCCAGATGTTCGGTTTGTGTTTTGGAGCCTAGGGGTATTTCGGTAAAGTGTAAGTTTGGGCTTTTGTGGAAAATGGACTTTTGTTCGGAAGCTTTTAAGGAAGATATGAGTTGATAGAAGTGAGGGTTTCTCGTTACCTTTTCATGGAT